ATATAATATAATGTAATGTAATGTAATGTAATGTAATGTAATATAATATAATATAATGTAATGTAATGTAATAAATTAATTTCACTGCAGAAACTGTAAATAGGAGGAGGTGCCCAGTTTTTTTTATTAATTTTTTTGGTAAACTATATTCAGCTTGCTGCATTAAATCACAACATGTAAAAATACGTCCTATGTACACAGAGGGAGTTAGAGCTGTTAAAAGAAAAGAAAATGTTAGAGCTGTTAAAAGAGAAGAACAAGTCTGTTGGCTCAGATTGTAGTAGTTACAGGTGATGCAGTGATTGTGAGATTCTGACAAAGCAAAGCTCATGGACAAAAACAAGCCCAAACGACCTCTCTCATCCCATTCTCACTGCAGGATGTCAAATACTGCTGGGCTGTGAGAAAACACAAGCGCTCTCCTTTGATCTGACTTGTTTTCTTCTTGTTGATTTAAAATGCCTTCCAGATCATTTTTTCTGCACACACTGTATGTTTTGAACAAAAATCATCACACATGGAGAAATGATACAGGTATTACTATTTTGGTCAAATCTTGAAATTAATACTGTTAACGATCTAAAGCATGTGCTGTGGACGACCCTCAGACGCTGACTCATCAAACTTCTTCTTGACATTTGCAAAAGTGACTGAAGTATACTGAGCTGGGTGAAGTGGACTAGCTGTGGCAGCCATCGTGTTTTTGCATTGACCCCAAGAGTTCATCAGTTTTACCTGCAGTGACTCATTTCTACAAGAGTCGTTGAACTTCATCCAGTTGTTCATGAGATAATTTGCCAAACAACAAGCAATGCTAAAGTTTTATTCAAAGATGCTGTAAAACATGTAGCATTTTGGAGGATATGCTGTGAATGACTCTCAGCTACCATGCTAATGTGTAGCTGAGTATCTGTAAAATTTAATGAGCTGTACCCGTTTTTCTGTTTGCTGATGTCGGTTGGCTGTGGTGGCCATCTTGAATCAGATTAATTTAAAATGTTTATCACTTGTTGACGTGCATCCAAAGATTACTTGTTGAGAATTGCGTTAAAATCCCTCCACTGTTTCACGAGATATTTTGCTAACAGACAAATACACAAATGGGCTTACTTATTTAATTAATTAAGTAATGAATTACTTAACTTTATCTAATCATCAAATAGTTTCACTGACTCGTGTATGTGCCCAAAATTTCTCACACATAAACCAGGCTGACAAAAACTCTAACGACCCTCCGGAGGGAGAGTGATTTGCATGTGAGTTCAGCTCTCAACAAATGAAGAAAATCACTGCTTTTTTGAGAATGTGGACTATGGGTGAGCTGGCAAAAGTGTTGTGTTAATGAGGTAATTGTAAGGTTTTGTAGTCACTGTATTGCATGAGACTTTTATTTTGAAAAATCTTGTTACTGAAACAGGATATGTCAACAATGATATTTCCAAAGTTGAATTAAAGTAGTAATTCCCATATGATAGTGTAAATGTGAATTATTATAAGTGTTATTAATACCAACAGGCAAAACAGTAATGAACAACTTTTGCGAAGGAACGCAAAAAGTAATTTGAGGTTACGTAATAAATTAATAAATAAATAAATAACTTCCCGATGTCCCCTCTTGGGCTAAGTAGTGGACCGTTTTACTGCAATTAAGACACAAATTTATCAGTACAAATAATCATAAGAAAACAATTGCTTATTGTTCAAAAATGTTCAGTCACTCAGAAATCCTTTTTCAGTCTCACAGAGAAGTGCTCGTTTGAACAAACGGTGCACAAGGAGCCCATTAGCAGCCTGAACCACAGAGGTGGAATTACAGGAACATGAAATGTTTTCTCTGGAAAGCATTAATCTTCAGCAGACCTCAGGCTGGTCCTGGACACCAGTGCTTGGATTTGATTGCAGATGTTGAGGTTATTTAAAATTCTCTAAAGCTTTTTCTCACAGAAACGCAGAATAATAAAAACAAAAAAGATGTAATCTGTTGAAAAATCATGTTGTATGCTGCTGAGGGTCCGGTGCTTAAAGTTTGCCAGTTGTTTAGTCTACAGTGATGTGATGTAGGCAACAGTTAAAGCTGATCTTGCTGAGAAACACAAGCTCTTTTAAAAGAGGACAAATGTTTTCCATGTCAACATTGTACATTTAAAAGTATACCAGACCAAGCATATTATGCTGTTACAAAGCAGGTTTAATAAAACAAGAAAGTAATTTGTCAAAAACAAAGTCTCAGGTTCTTTCTTTACTTGTTCAGCTCCAAGTCAGTCAGCAAGTGTGTGAGAAAATTCTTCAGACCTAATATTTAAAATTAGCATCAGGTCCTTCACAACACAAAACTCTGCGGTTTCACAATAAAAACCTTTAAAAGGGTTCACTTAGTGAAGGTTAACAACTTCCACACAGAGATGTCTCGCAACAATCATGTGAACCCGGCAGACCTCTCACCACATCTGTCACAATCTGTCATGACATGCTTCTTCGAGGGTCAGGGTGGTATCAACTTGCATGACTGTTGTAAAAGAATACAGCCAAAAGAAAAGTACAAGCACAAGAATTGTAAAAAAAAAAGTAAGTTTTTATTTTCTTTATAGGAAATTATGTACAAATGAAATAAATATTCCTGGAAGGAATGCATATAACCTCCCACTTTTAATGACAAACTTTTGGGCCGCTACCCAAAGCATTAGGATTTGGAGTAAGTCCCAAGGATGGCTCTCAGTTAAAGCTGCAGCAAAACCTCAATTTCTGCAAATATCTTTGAGTTACACACATTTTTGGGATTTGCTGTGGTTCATTAGCTGTGGTGGCCATCTTGAATCAGTTTGACTTTAAAGCAGAAGTCTTCAACGATGGGGTCATGATGCCTAGTGGGGGTTGTGAAGGTACTTGCAAATTTGAGATTGGCAACTAACATGTATGTGTTTCACTACAGAAATAAAGTGACTGATAATAGGTAAATAATGCTGACGGCCACTCAAGAAACATTTGGGACTGAGTTCTAAAAACTGTAAACTAGTGGTGTCCCAATACCATATTTGTCAAGTTGTACACATTGGGCCTCATGCAAGAACATGTTCGTATTCTTATTCTAAATTTCTCTTACTTTTGTTCGTACGAAGGGTTTGTGCGAACATGCCACGTCAGATTCAACAAACTCTTCTATCTTCAGGAAAAGTGTGTAAATGAGCAGATGAATATCCAGCTGCTGGTGCACGCACGAGGATCCATCCATCCATCCATCCATCCATTTTCTTCCACCTATCCGGGGCCGGGTCCCGGGGGCAGCAGCTTCAGAAGGGAGGCCCAGACCTCCCTCTCCCCAGCCACTTCTTCCAGCTCCTACGGGGGAACTCCAAGATGTTCCCAGGCCAGCCGAGAGACATAGTCCCTCCAGTGTGTCCTGGGTCTTCCTCGAGGCCTCCTCCCAGTGGGCCGTGCCCGGAATACCTCACCTCTCCTTGGGCTGCTACCTTATCGTGGTG